ATCAAGCGCAAACATTCGAGTTACGGTTACTAAAAAGGAACCTGATCTTGAAATCACCATGACAACATGAGAACTGTGATCACTTTCTTCAATAAATCGCTACACGGTTGCTGCAAAGACAATGATCGCCAAATACAACATGTACTTAGATCTGTGTAAACAGACCTCGTTCACTCATGTACACTGAGATTTTTTTTTTTACTTTTAAACACAGACTCGGTTGAATGGGAAGTTTAACGGACCCGTAACTGTAATGCATACCGGAAACGTACTGACCTTGATATACTCGTCTGTGGAAAAAATGTCAACTTTGTTGGCCTTGACGCCTTTTAATGGCACTACTATGTGAACAGTAGTTTCTGTTTCGTCCCATGTATAATCCTTTACCGCCAGTGGCATGATGTAAAAAGGAAATTTCTTACTCGACTGTGAAACAAACGCAGCAGGTTACATCACCGAAGTATGTTGTCTTGATGATGCTGACTAATGAATTAAATATGGCGCCGAGTCACATGATATTTCAAGCCAATGGTAGAAAACATTGTAAAGCAGCGACCAATCATAAACCCCGTTGCTAACAGCCACATGTCCTCTGCAGCGAGCAATCGCACACTTGTCTGTCTCAGCTGATCTTGGAGTCACGGAGAAACAATTTGTCTGATAGCCGTGTTTAAAGCATACACAAATGTTTCAATCTGTCAGAAGTGTCAGAACAGTTCAGGTTAGTTGTTGAATTGGACCGGTCCCATCCGCATCTTTCGAACCGCTGCCCCCAATTACACATGAACCAGGAAAAGTGGTGCCTAAGTCGAGGGGTGGGGGGTCGCGATTTTTATACTGTTGCTTTATTAAAATACCATCTGAATAGATGTTCTGTTCATTATATATGTTCTGGAGCCATGGAATGTTGTCATGGTACGGGCAAGCGGAGTACCCAATAAATATTGTGATAACTGTTTGAACAGATAAATACGAGATGTTCTGAAAAAAGGATATGGTCAAAAATGTCAATGTTACTGGATATTCATGTCCAAGAAAAAAAAAAAAATCGATAAGACTTTTTTAGGTTCCCCTCACCCATAACTCTAAATCCTGACCCTGCCCCTCCAGTGCCCCTCCCCCATTTCAATTGTACATGTATATACCTCTCTTTTCGTCACTTGTAGTTATTTGATGGTGCTTATTGAATATACATTGGGGGCTGGAGTGTTGAGGTTAGGGGTGTGAAGGAACTTAAGGAACTCTTTCAAAAAAGGATATATATATTTCAGAAAATGTTCAAATACTGGGATGTTATCACAAATATGAACATTATGTGATCTAGCATCGTAAAAACTGTGTTGAAACCTTTCAAATACCAAAATGGAAATACTGGATATTGGTTTTGCTCAAATTTATTCTGGATTTGATTGAAAACCTGCTGTGGCAATCTTACTGAAACTGATTTTTTCAATTTCTCATCTTTCTTTCTCTTTCAGAGACTGTTGCCACAGTTACAGTTAAAGCATGTCCGAGCAGCATCAGGGCGACCTATGAATACAGTGATTAAGTTTGTACCCCAGCAAGAAGCATGGATCGTAGAACGAATGGGGAAATTTCACAGGAAGTTAGAGCCAGTAGGTGTTTAAATCCTTATAATCCGTCGCACTTGTCTACGTCTTGTCTGTATGCGCAGTGGATGGTTGACAAAAAACGGTATTTTACATCCAGTGATATTAAAATTACACTTGCGAAAAACGTTGTTAAACATATGACGTCACAGTGTGATATGAAAACTGAGTAAATAATAATATTTATTTTCTGTCATAGTCGAATTGTTTGAACAGTAACATAGCTAAGTTGTTGCCTGGTTTGCTATGTGTCTCAATATCACTATTGATTTGACATCCCATGTAGAGGTTGGTTTAAGCCAACCTGTTCTAATTGCATAACGATTCTCAAGCGACGCATAGCAAATCAGTCAGCAACAATGCTTCTGTGTTGGTGTTTGGAACAATATGGTGGTAACAGTAACATTTATTGCCTAATTTGATTTTGTTTGAACAACAATTAAAAGTTGTCTATAAAGAGCTATTTTTTCCTCAAAATGACACAAAATTAACTGTCCTTTGCTTTCAAATTTTCTAAAAAAATGTTTAAAATATTTAAGATGGTTACAAGTAGTTTGCTGTGTACACTTTGATACAAATTCCCTCTTATTACACAGTTGCCATTACTATCTATTTGTGTTCAAGTCTTGATTTCATTTTGATGGAGTGTATCAGCTGCAAAATATACATATTGTATTTTTGCAGGGGACCTGAATGCAAGGTTTGGAACAGCATGATAAAAGCAAATGATGCACGGTTAAAAAATTGTATGGATTGTATATGTGATCCATGTTTAATAATTAGTGTTTATTTTTCTTGCTTGCTAAAAATGATTGAACACACGTTTTACATGTCGCACATGGGACGTATATTAAACATGAAGGAGTATGACTGCTGTGACACTTTTATAAATGCCATATAATTTTTTTTTACAGGGTGTGAATATACTGTTGCCATTTCTTGACAAGATTAAATATGTGCAGAGTTTGAAAGAAATTGCTATTGATATTCCATCCCAAACTGCTATTAGCAAAGGTAAGTATCAACATCATGATGGATATTAAGTTGTATACATACATATATACATATATATATATATATATATATATATATATATATATAAGTAAAGTTGTCATTCCGACAACTGAATAGTAACGCAATGTACATTTCATTCAAGCAACTTTAAAAGTGACATTACATTGTTACATTGAGTCACATTAGTTCATTATTATTTTTATCAGCTCTATTTTTATATGCAAATAATTATTAGGCTTATAGTCTTCTTGCATGCATGTATACGTCTGTGTGTGTATAAACAATTTTCTTCAACTTTTAAGCTTACCTGATACCTTGTCTGATGCAAATATATATGCAATGATTTTGTGATTGGGCCAAAAAAAGTATTCTAACATGTTTTTCAGATTTGGTGGAAGAACTAACCAATACGGGTAGTTGATGCGAATCATTTTGAATTTCTAAATTTGGCCCAAGATGGTCGACTGGTGGCCATTTTGTTTTTGTCACAATCTATTCCAGAATGCTTTGAGCTATTCACTTTAAGTTTATACATAGACTGTACATCTTGGCATACATATGCACATACAATAATTTTCTGATCAAAGATGGTCACCTTAGGTTTATATTGTCTGATCTTTCCTCAAACTAGGCGGAGGGAGTAACATTGGAGAGGTTGATGCACATCACTTTGATTTGTAAAGTTTACTCAAGATGGCTAACTAGACCCAATTATGCAAGAAATGTTTACTATGCACAGGACTAGGAGCTAGATTATCTGACAAATGTATATTGTTTTGTGATAGCTCACAAATAAAATTCATGCTTTTGTCATTTTATGAGTCGTGATGATTATGAATAGGAACTTTTATTCTACATGTATTATAATGCACTGTGCCAAATTTGGTAAGCTCAAAATTTGAATTTTTATGGCAAAGTAATTTATTATTTAGTTAAAAACACTGAAAACTGTTTTTTGTTACTCACTTTATAACAAAAAACAGAATTCTGTAATATGCTTATTGTCTTTAACCTTTTCACCACCAGTTCTCTCTTTTCATCACAAATTCACAAAATTTATAGTTTATAGTCTGCACTTTCCTTCAGAAGATTGGGACAAGAATAGTCAAATTTTTTGAGTAAAAACTAAAAATTGACTAAGATTTTGTCTGTTGAATCCAAAATTACGGTTCAATTCCAGAAATATTGAAGAAAATAAGAAAAAAGTGCAGACAAATTAGGACGAGAAAGTGTGGTGGTGAAAAGGTTAACATTAAATACACAACAGGGACTGTGCTTTGCAGAATGCTTGTTTTATTTATTGTACTGCACTTATCTATTCACAAATAAGCATCTTAACTGAAGTATACAACACAATAAGATATATTGCCTCTATTTTGATAGACAATGTAACTCTTGGCATCGATGGAGTACTGTATCTGAGAGTGGTAGATCCGTTCAAGGT